TTACCTCTGTGTCACAATGATGCATTTAGGTACTGAATAACAGAACGGTTTGATTTTACTCTAAAAGATATTTGATTGTACTGATGTAATTCAGTCAGTTCAGCCGTATTTAACGACTAGAACCACCTGACAGCTCAGTGTGTCCCTGAAGAACCTCCTGGTTCTTTCAGAAAGATAAAATTGACCTGAAACCCATTTTAGATTAATCCATTCACTGCAGAAATGACATTAAAAGCTCTGGTAACAGGTATTAATGAGCTCACCAGGTGAGGTGCAGCTCAGGATGGACCGCCACATAGATGAGCAGAGAGCCGAAGATCAGCAGGTAGGTCCCGTAGTAAATGGCGTTTTCGATGAGCGCCGTTTTGATCTTCCCTGTGATGGAGAACCCTCCGGATCGGGCGTATGACTGCATGAAGGGCAGAAGGAGCCTGGGAATGACAGCAGAGGGTCAGAGCCTGCTGTAACCCAACGGACAGGTGATGGTGGATCGGGGTCTAACTGACCAGGTGAGGCACTGGGAGGTCCAGTACACCACTCTCCAGAATACAGGCATGATCCCCTCAGGGATGTAGCTCCACGGCTTGTAGCACGGTGTTGGAGAGTTTCTGAGAAAGTTGAAGCAGAAACAGAGTGATTAAAAAAGCTAAATCTAACAAAACGTTCCAGAACCAAAGCTTTGTTAACAGAGCAGCAAACTTTAGAGCTTTATCAGGATCATCATAAAACAATCCAATCAGAAGGCCTGGTCAACAGAGCTAGTGTTTGTTTCATAGTCTGACATGAGTCTGATTATATATTAAAATGTATGGAGATAAACATAAAACTAAGATAAAAGTATAAAAATAACAGAAATGTTTGAATCACACATCCTCCATTAAACCAGGGGTGAGTATTAGCATGGGTATTGCGAAATGATACGCGTCACGATACATGGGTCACATTATGATATTATCGCAATATTGTAACATCACTATATATTCCAATATTTTTCCCAGCTATCAAAGTTAAATGTATAGATAAAAAAGCAAGCAAGTGTACAGAATAATAAAGGACAAAGTCATAGAATCTCTTTAACATGGGCTCATTAATCTGTTCTTTGATGTTCTTGGTGTAAAATATTTGGAGGAAACAACAACTGATTTTCTTTCAGGATGTTTCTTTAATTTCTAGTCAGAACTTCCTGCTATTTATTCAGGCGTATTTCCTGCAGATAGCAGCCAGTGGCTTTCCTTAAATCTTTCCAAAGTTTCCTTTGCTCTGAAATTTTTACTTCAGATTTAGAAGGACGACAGGTCTACAGTGTGCAAGCCACAGAATCTATTAGATGCACTGGTCTGTTAGCACAGCCTGACCTTTTAGGTGGAGCCACAGTGGAGTTGGGTGTGGTGTGGTTCGTCGGGCTGCTGGTGGGAACAGAAACCTGCTTTTCATGGTCTTCGACGCACTGCCTGTAGATGGTCTGTAGGGGGCAGAAAAACACCAAAGACTCAAATCCAGTTCAGCTGTTTATCTGGAATCTGTTTAAAAACTAATGCGGCTTTTATTTTACTGCAGTGAGACTAGTTAGACTGTGTTTGTTTATATACTTTAAATATGTATTTTAACACTAGTAACAACGATACAAGAGCTATTATGTAGATATTTTAGGTGAAAATCTCAATGGTGACGCCTTTAGTTCAGCACATAAACACATAGTGAGTAATGGGCTGAGTGTTTATAGTTTTTTCCCTCCCCACAACCATCCAAACCATAAAAGCCATTGCCTCTATCTGCCTCTTTACATTAATTTTCTTTCTAATAACATGACAGGTCATGGAGAAAGGGTCAAAAGATGTCGGACACTTTCTTTTTGCTTACAGTATTTTTACTGTAAGAGACTAGATAATAAAATCCAATAGAATAAAATCTAAAGTTGTGGGTTATCTAGGGATGCAACTAATGATTATTTTGAAAATCAATCAATCTGTCGATTATTTTTCTCCATTAAACAATTAATAATCAGATAGCTTAAGGTTCCTTAAAGAAGATTTTTGCAAAATTAAACCGGGATAAACTAAATCTTTTCCACTTGAGGAGTTCTGGATAGAACATAATGATAGATGAAAAGATTTTTTATATTAAATGCAAAATCTTAACAGTTTTTTTTACAATTTTGTAATAATTGCTACTCAAGGTGGGTTGTTCTGTCAGCTAAAATCACGTTTCAGAGTCTCTATACTCCAGTTAACGATTAATCGATTACTAAATTAGTTGACGATTATTTCAATAATCGGTCACTCACGATCAGTCCGATTCATTTTTTTCTGCTCTAATGTCATCTTGATCTGAATTAACTTTTCTTTAAAGAAAATCTAAAAGAATCAGATTTTTTTATTATCACTTAAAACTTATGAACTATAAAATGTTTTGATTTTCATCCCTTAAAGTGATGAAATAAATGTTACACTACAGATTACTAGATCTATTGGATGTAGTTTGGAATATGCAACTAAAATACATCAAAGCTGTGATTTTATTAACTAAAAATATATAAAAAAAAAAAATACTTGATTCCTAAGGTTTTGACTCAAATCCATCTTTAAAAAAAAAGCATGTTTTAAATGTGCCATAAAGGATTATTATGGGATTATAAATCGGAAATAAATATTCCTCAAATAAAGTCTCTTGTTACAACTAATCCTGGAACTTTTTAAAATAAACTGAGTAAAAATTAACAGAACAGAAAAAGTATTCGCTTTAAAAAAAGAAATGTGAACTCTCCAGGTTGGTACCGACCGTGCTGACATCCAGAGGTAAGATGAAGACGATGAGGAAGCACAGGTACCAGGCCAGCAGTGTGCCGAACAGGACCATTCGCTGCTGCTTCTTAAAGTCTCCATAGCGGTGCAGCAGGAACAGGGCCAGGAAGAACACCAGGACGATCTCGATGCCGAGCGCCGCCCCGCTCATGGCACCGCAGCGATCCCAGCAGCTCAAACAGGAACCTGTGGAAGAGAAACAGACAATCAGACCGAGTCACAGATCAGGAGCAGAGTCTTTGAGTGAGACCGACAGCATCTTAGCCGTAGCAACAAACTCAGAAGCTTCAGCTTGGATCCAGCAGCAGTGATTCTGCTCACTGGTTTCTAAAGAACAGGATGAATCGCAGCAGTCTGGACCCTCTTCAGGGCCCAGCAAGTTCCAGCATCAGTTACCATGGTGACAAAGACAGATGAAAGGTTTATAATCCTGACCCTCATTATGGCACCTGGAGCTCTACCCAGTGAGAGACCAGAGTGACGGTGAAACCAGTTCACCCTGTCCTGTTTGACGCTGTGCTGGTCTGCAGCGAGGATGATGATGATGAAGGATAAAGAGCAACCTTCATCACTGGAAGATTAGCAGAAACATTCCAGCCCTGAAAGCTTCTTTGTGTTTTCCCTCTGTCCCACAAACACAGTCGACCAATCAGAGCTAACTCCCACAACGGCCAATCAGAGGTTACATAACTTCCTGCTAAAACTTGCAACCATGGCAACCATTCACCCAGAAAAAAACCTGGGCAGGAAAAGCCATTCCCCGGAGTAGGAGTTAGCTCCTCACCTTAGACCTCGGAATGATTCATGACATCACAACCTGAAGACAGCCAATCAGGTTTCAGAACAGCTAAATATGCCTCTGTGAGTCCGGGAGGCTGAAAGAGGGCAAAGAAACGTTCCCTCACTGACAAAAACCCAAACCGGCTAATAATAATAAAGTATATTTAGTTTAACCAAAGGGACGAACATGACAACAGTTAAAACACTAATCAGATAAATCAAATTATAATATATTAAAGTAAAACACTGTCACAGAAAAAAAAGGACTTCCATGGCATTCTATGTCTAAACCTGATGCAGATGTTTAATGGCTGCTATGCTAAAACTAACATGCAGAGAGGAGGACAGTGTGGTGGAGGAATAAAGAAAAACATGAGGAAAATGAGAAACAATTGTGATGTTGTCAAAAAAAAAAAAAACAATCCACTGGACTTTGTTTCCAAGAATGAAGACGTTTCTCTTCCCATCCAGGAAGCTTTTTCAATTCAAAATGTCAGAAACAACGTTA